ATAATAGTAAACATAAAAATAATAACTCGTTATGTTTCAATTTCTCATCCCCAAAAAAAAGGCTATAGTGGATCTAAATCTAATATAGAGATATGTAATTTTATATGCGGCCAGCGAAGTTAGGATGCATTTCCAAAGTGGCCCGCATGATCATTTGGGTTGGCCACCCTTGATTAAGAACACTACAAACAATAATTTTTAAACGTTAAAAGATGCTATGTATTCATGAATGAAAAATATTTTGGTTTTATTTCTCCCTTTCCACCGACATATTTTCCTATTAAAATTAGCGACAGAAAAAAATTAGTTTATTTTCTGTAACCCAGTAACGCCAAAGCTATCTATAAATACTAAATAATCATCTTTATACCAAATTCATTGAAAGAAATTTGGATGAGCCATGATGAATCTGCATGGACTATAAGTTAACTTTATAATTTGATCCTACGAAAAAAAATCTGTTGTCGTTACTCCATTATTTATATGCCCTCCATTTAAGTTTATATCATCTAACTCCATTATTTTTACACTCTTTATTTTTGTATGTATGAAAGTGTTCAAATGTTTTAAGACTTAGATCCACTTTGTATCAAGTTCCTAGTTCCTCTAGTTTAAAATTTCCACACACACACATACATAAATGCCCTTTAGAGAACACTCGATGTTATTACCATTACTGCATTCAATTTACCATTTACATTCTCAAACATTTTTTTATAAGAGGAAAAAGACCTCAATGTTTTTCTCATTCGTGGTATTTGCTCTTTTTTACTTCATTCGAAGACGTTCAATCTTTTCCAATGGAGTGACTGCAAACCCATTAAAGGTTTGTCCTGCGTTCTCGCGTTCATTTATTTTGAGGTGAAAGATACGGAGACCCGCGGAACTGCCGGTTCAGCGCAATTTCTTGCATACTGGGCAGAAACCCCTTCTTCTCCTTCTGTTTTTCTTCTTTTTTTTTTTTTTTTTTTTTTTTTGTTGTTGTTGTTCTTCTTCTCGTCTCCTTTCTTCCATCCATCCCCTCCCCCGCATGTTCCCCTGGAACTAAGATAATGGGGCGCAAAAGAAAGACTCGATGGAAAACACCTCCTTTTCATTTCAATTTATTTTCTCTTACGAATTTTTTTTTTTTTTTTTTTTTTTTTTTTTTTTTTTTGTCTTTATTTTTCTACCTCGAATTTCACGACAGACTTAAAAAGAGTACAGGCTTGGTCACCACTTTTTTTCTTCTTCTTGCTTTGTTTGGAAAAATTGGCGGCGTCATTCAAACAGCCATATTCTTAAGAGGGTGTGTTTCAATTCCAAACTTTTTTTTTTGTTCGTTTTTCGCTGTTATTGCTTTCTTTTATTCTTTTTTATTTTTCGTAGCTTGCAATTGGGAAGAAGAAATAGCCGGTTTGCAGTCGTAATGGTGGGATATTACGTCCCCTTCCACCTACCTACACTAAAAGTTCCTTATATATTTATTAGAATGCGCATTGTTCTGAAGATATGCACTTTTTTTTTTTATTTTGTAGAACAAGATTAACTTAAGACTTTATTCGACTTTGGCATTTTCTTTTTGCATTAAATTATTTGATAAATAAAATTTTTAATGAAACATATTTATCATAAAAACCTATACATTATTAATTGTGCTGATACAGGTTTCATGGAGGCCTGATGGCCAACTGGCTAGCGATCTGGCTGTTGGTACCGAAGGCTACAGGCTCGAATCCTGGCGGTCGTATGGATGGCTGTTGGTGGTTCGGAACCCACGTTAAACTGTAGATCCTGGTCAATTTAGTCCAAATTGTGCACAAAATGACAACAGAACGGCTAACCAAACAAAACTTTGACTGAGTAATCTCCAAGGCTTATCTATAAATACTAAATAATCACATTTGTACCATTCAGTTAATTGAAAGAAATGTTGATGAACCACGATAAATCACAGCCAACTATAAGTAAACTTCATGATTTGATCCTACAAATAAGAAATCTCTTGTCATCACTACATTATTTATAATGCCCTGCTTTTTGTATGCATCCATGTTTTCAGATGTTTCAGGCCTAAGATCCACTTCGTATCAGGTTCCTAGTTCCTCCAGTTTAAATTCACACACACAAACAGACAAATGCTCTTTAGAGAACACTCGATGTTATTATCATTACTGCTCTCCGTGTAACATTTAGGATACCATTTACATTCTCAAAAAAAAATTTTATACAAGAAAAAAGACCTCAATGTTTTTATCTTTTGTGGTATTTGCTCTTTTTTACTGCATTCGAAGACGTTCAATCTTTTCCAATGGAGTGAATGCAAACCGATTAAAGGTTTGTCCTCTGTTCTCGCGTTCATTTATTTCGGAGGTGAAAGATATGGTGACACACGGAACTGCCGGTTCAGCGCAATTTCCTGCATACTGGGCAGACACCCCTTCTGCTCCTTCTGTTTTTCTTTTTTCTTTTTGTTGTTATTCTCATCCCCTTTCTTCCACCCCCTCCTCCCCCGCATGTTCCCCGCGAACTAAGATAATGGGCGCAAAAGAACAGACTCGATGGAAAACACCTCCTTTCCATTTCAATTTATTTTCTCTTACGAATTTTTTTTTTTTTTTTTTTTTTTTTTTTTTGTCTTTATTTTTCTACCTCGAATTTCACGACAGACTTAGAAGGAATACAGGCTTGATCACCACTTTCTTCTTCTCCTTTTTGGTTTGTTTGGAAAAATTGGCGGCGTCATTCAAACAGTCATATTCTTAAGAGGGTGTGTTTCAATTCCAAACTTTTTTTTTCTTCGTTTTTCGCTGTTGTTGCTTTCTTTCTTTTTTTATTTTTCGTAGCTTGCAATTGGGAAGAAGAAATGGCCGGTTTGCAGTCGTAATGGTGGGATATTACGTCCCCTTACACCTACTCTACCAGTTCTTTATATATTTATTAGAATGCGCATGGTTCTGATAAATTGCAGGTTTTTTTTTTTTTTTTTTTTTTTTTTTTGAACAAGATTAACTTATGACTTTATTCGACGTTGGCATTTTTTCTTTTTATAAATTATCTGATAAATAAAATCTGTAATCGAATAAATTTATTAGAAAAACCCATATATGTGCTCATGTATAACAAGTCACATAAAATTAATGAATCTGTTCGACTTTCACAGGTCGCAACCACAACAGATGGAATATGGACTAGACCATGAATTGTTCCATCGTGATGAGTGGTCGACCATGAGCTGAGAAATGTCTACTATCATGAGAAGTGAGGGCATCCGATCCCCCTGGAGTTTCATTCATTTTATGTGTATCTAGAGCAGCCCCGATGGATAGAAAATAAGAGATGATATCGCTTTCCGTGAAAACCTTTTAGAAGAAACAATCAGCATTTGTGTGTCGTATGAGAAAAAGATTTTTCATACATTTTATTTATTTCTTAAATTTCATGAGTATTAAAAATAAGTAATTAATAAATTTTCATAAGTTTTCATTTTCAAAAAAATTTTATAATAAAATTTTCATAAAATATCCTGATTGTGGACATGAGACTCTTGTATATGTTACTACAATCACTGTCGGAACTTCTTATTTATGAAAGAAGATTGTTATGGACGATTTATAACAGACGAATAAAATGAAATATTAATGGATTTTGAAGAGATTTCATCGTACTCATGTGCAATTGCTTCATGACAATTGTTTTGTTCAATTTGTAAATATAAATTTCGCAATTTAGGGGAAGTTACATAAAAAAAAAAAAACGTTTTATACAGAGAGTGCACACATATTTTTGTAACGATTTTGTAAAATATATTTATGAAATAAATGTTAAGTATTTCATTTTCTTCATGTTCTTCTGATAGGCTTTTTGTTTCAATCATATAATCATATAATCTATCATATTACATCTTGATTTCTCGATAAAAGAGCTATTTTTTTAAAAAATAACAAGGTTCAGTTCGTTTCACTCCTCCACCATAATCTTCCTATGTCTTGGGATGTTCGATTATAAAGAGTTTGTTTGAAAAGTCCCATTGCGCAATAATATATGGAATGCATAATACTGTAAAAGTGGGGTGTATTTAAATGGAATAGCATTAAGTCCGATTTCATTTTCTATTTTTGCCAAATATAGAGCAATGTACATTTAAAGCTCGTTCACACCGAGGTGTGAGGCGTTGAAGCGTGAAGCGTTGACCAATCACTAGCCTCACAGCGTTCGCCTGAAATCGGTTGAAATCCACCGCTTCGCGTTAACCAAATTTCAACTCTCAAATGCCGTCATGTGATTTGGACAGTGTCAGTTAATAGAAGGAATTGAAAAAAGCAGAATATTAATAAATTTAATTATGCAAAGATTATGGAAAGTTATTTAATTATGGAAAAATAAGTAAATTATTAATGATTGAAATTTTTATAAGATTTTTTGTTATGAATGATAAAAGTAAATCTTAAAATGCTAAAATAGATAATGTGCATGTACCGAAAATTTTGGAATTTTATCTTTCTAAGTTCCTGTATTTGTTAAGTCATTTAGATTTAGATTTTATATCGATTTTATATTTATTATTATTTATTTCTAGAGTTATATTTATAGATTTATGTTTTTAATTTTTAGTCATTTATATTTATATTTTATTAAGTCATTATATTTATATCTACATCAAAATTTTATTTTATATTTTATTATTATTTTTTTTTTTTTTTATATTTTTATATTTTATAATTATATTTATATTTTATATCGACTTTATATCTATTATTATTTTATTGTTAGATTTATATTTATAGATTTATATTTTTTATTTATAGACATTTAGATTTATATTTTATTAAGTCATTTATATTTATATTTAGATTAAAATTTTATTTTATATTTTATATTTTATTTTTAATTTGTTTAGATTTTATATTTTTATATTTTATAATTATATTTGTATTTTAATCGGTTTTATATTTATTATATTATATTTATATTTATATTTATATTTATGTTTATATTTTATTTATATTTATATTTAGCCAACGGCCGTACCATGCTGAATATACCGGTCAACTGAAGTCAAGCATCATTGGGCGCGGTCAGTACTTGGGTGGGTGACCACCTGGGAACACCGCGTGCCGTTTGCAAATTTGGGACCTGAATGGTCGAGTGTCTAGAGCTCGGTGCCACAGGTTTCGGGTTCGATTCCCGGCGGTGCCATGGATGTTTGTAGTGGTTCGGAATCCACTTTAAGCCGTAGGTCCCGGTCTCGTATGACTGTAAAGGCGCCACGGAGCCAAAATCAGACTTCTACCTACGGGGTGCTCCATCACAACAGAAGCTGCTTCCTTCCCCTTCAATCATGAGTACGTGTGGGCTTGGCCAGCCAATTGGGATAAGAAACAACAAACATATTTATATTTATGTTTATATTTTATTTATATTTATATATTTATATATTATATTTTATTTTATATTTTTCTTATTATTATTTTATTTTATAGTCATTTAGATTTAGATTTTAGTGTATGGTAAACAATGCAATCCGATACGCCATCAAGAAAAACTATACGTTAACTCCTTTGCATGTTTCTGTAAAAGAAAAGCTTCCAAAAATATCCACTTCTGTATGAAATAAATTAATTATTAATAAATAATTAATAATGAAAATAACAATAAAAGAAAAATATTGTGTCACAGTTATTTAATAATCTATTCTTTATAGAACACACAAAATTATTATCTGAAAGACCAAAGAATTATTATATGAAGGACATAAAAGAATTGACGGGCATCTCAGGTTCTTTTCAAAATAATCTTTCTGCAAATATCTAAAAATAACTCTAGAAAATAGAACAGCATCCGAATAAAATTAAAAGTTTGTTTTTGTTGCATACCTTTCTTTTTTCCAAGACGTAATTTCTTCATCATATTTATACAAAAGGCAACACATGAGTTTTTGTAAACTGCTTTTGTAATTTTAAAATCTTCGCTAAAGTAGCAAAAAGTAATATTGAAAACTCATATTACGGACTTAAGAGTTATATTTAGCATCACAATAACATTTCTTATTTTAAAATTATTTCAGATCTAAAAAAAAAAAAAAAGGCAGAAATTTAACAAGCTTTACATTTTTTTCCCACCATTTAACACAACTAAAAGAATAAAAAAAACACTTGGTTATTAATTTTGAGTTTGAAGACTTATTCTTATTGACTAATATTTTTTTTTTTCATTCTGCTATAAAAAAAAATTATATTTTTCCGATCAATATAAAAATAATCCAAAAAGGGAGACAAAGAATTTAAAAAATTGGTTTGGTATTCTCTTTTCAAAAAGGCTACAGAATGAGGTTTACAAAACAAAAGAACTTTTAGAAACCCGCTCTTCACAAGGCCAGAAAAGCGTGCTCATCTCTTTGTTAGAAATGTTGCAGATAATTCCATTGATTTGAGTTCGCCCTAATTACGGTCCGATAGTCGAGCTTATGCCCTCTCCTCTGGTAATCACAGTCGAAAAATGTGTAGGTGGCGATTAAATGCAGTAAAACAAAAAACGAAACGAGAAAAAAAAAGGTAGGGACATGGGATAAAAAGAAAAAATAGAAAGGCAGAAAGAAAAAAAATTGCTTGGTAGATCGAATGAGTTTCCAATGTTCTGTAACTGCTGATGTGTTTAGTTAAGTGTTAATAATCTTTTTTTTCTTAATGTCTATAAGTAGATTAAAACAAAGTTCTAAACAGTTTATTTATTTAATTTTTTTTGCTCCAAAGGAAGCACAATATTTATGATAAAGCCTTTCGTATACAATTCTTTGAAACTTGCCTGCATCTCAAAAACCAATGTAAACAAGTAATATAAAAAAAAAAATTTAAAGTCAATTCCTACTTTTTTTTCACAATGTTGCAGAAAAGTCCTTTACAAATAAAATTGAAATGTTCCTCTTAAATCTAAAAAAGCTAAAATAATTAAATAAATTTAATTACTGAATTAATATTTGAAAAAACTGTATTAACATCCAGTGTCCTCCACTGCAAGTTAAAAAAAATGTATTTGAACGTGAGTGGAGGAATAAAAAGTATTTTATGAACGATTGAAAATTTGAGCAAGATATATATATAGGGAGCTAATAGAAGGATTTGAAAAAAAAAGAGGATGATTTTAAAAATGGTTCATAGACATGAAGTGTTTTTACCACGTCCTAAAGTGCACTTCTGATTTTATTTAATATTTTATATTGGTGTATAATTAATCATGCAATACATATTGCCAGTAAAAATTACAATTTTATAATTTAAAAAAAAATTTCAAAGTGTTGTTTTCATTGAAAAAAGTCGAAATTACACTTTCATTTTCAAAGTGTGGTTTTCATTGAACATTGAACATTGAACCTGAACATTGAACCTTTAAGTATTAAAAATAGATCTTGCCATTCCTCTTTGAAAGTTATAATACTAATATTCAAAATGGGGCCTGGTAGCCGAGTACGTAGCGCCCAGGCGCTAGGTGCAACAGGTTTCGGGTTCGAGTTGCGGAGGTGGGTTTGGGTGTTTGTAGCGGTTCAGAATCCACTTTAAACTATTGTGCCACTGACGTAGGGCTGACAACCCTGCTCTGTAAAAAGAAAACCTCTCTTTTCTCGAAATCTGCTAAAAGGTCTTGGCCCACAATGAGACTGTTATGCCACTGATGTTGATGACGATTCAATATTCAATATTGTTCCGATTCAATATTGTTCAATAAATGTCGTTTTTTTTCAATTCCTACTATTAGTTGACGCTCTCCCTATATATATCTTGTTGAAATTTTCAATCGTTCATAAAATGCTTTTTATTCATCCACTCAAGTTCAAATACATTTTTTTTAACTTGTAGTGGAAGACACTGGATGTTAATACAGTTTTTCAAATATTAATTCATTAAATAAATTTAATTCATTCATTTTATTTTTATTTTCTTTTAGATTTAAGTTGCATATATCTAATTACATATGGCGCCAGATGTAAGAGGAAAATTTCAACTTTATTTGTAAAGAACTTTTCTGCAATGTAGTGAAAAAAAAAGTAGGAATTGACTTTAAATTTTTTTTTTTCTTTTTGTATTACTTGTTTCAATTTTATTACGATAAACATCTAAGAAATCTAAAAGATACTTTTGTTGTGTTAGGCAAGATGGAGCTATAAAAACAAGTCGTTCCACATATAAAATTCAACTACTAACCAGTTAATGGTTAGGTTAAAAAGAATTTAATTCAATGTGGGGTACAAACACTGTCAATGATATCACTCATGTCTCATATATACGATTTGTTTGAATTTTTATAAAAGCGAACAACATTCCGAAATATCAAAGCTATCCTAAAACGACATTCTGGCTGATTATCAACTGGCTAGTGCTCTGGCCTTTGAAACCGCAGGCAGAGCCGGATTTTCCTATAGGCTAACTAGGCTTCTGCCTAGGGCCTCAAGATCAAGAGGGGCCTACATTCAAATTGTTGGAAAAATTAGAATTACACTATTCTAAAAACAGTAAACACTGAATCGAAAATAAGGAGAAATTATGAAATAAATTTATCTGGATTGAATTTGTTTTAATCCTCAATGTATTGAATATATTGAATTTAATTTGAAAGAAAATATTATAATTTTTATTGCATATTTTATTTTTGTAGTCAAAGAATTTTATTATTTGAATTTTGTTTCTTTGTAAGTGTTGTGTGTTTTTGATTAGTTATTGTTACAAGTACTATATAGGGTGCTAAGAATAAATGCCAAAATAAGTGTTCTCGACTTTCTTTTTTAATTTATTATCCGTGCCACATTTTTATAGAGATTAGTACCCATCACAACATGTTCCATTTAACATATTGATATATATCCCAGTAATGATGTATTTTATTATCTCTCATGTAATTTACAAACTTAAAAATGGGAGGTGAAAGGGCCTCATAAGTGGAATAGCCTGGGGCCTCTTTTCATTTAAGTCCGGCACTGACCACAGGCTTCAGGTGAGATTTCTGGCGATGGGATGGATGTTTGTTCGAAATCCATATTGAAGTGTAGATCCCAGTCTAAGTAGCCCAAAATGTGCAAAAAATTACTGAAGAGCGACCAAACCAAAACCAAACAACTAGACAAACGAAAACTAACCAAACTTCCATGGATGGCTATGAAAGTTTCTCTTTTTTTCAATTCCTTCTATTAGCTCTCACTCTCCCTACATATATCTTGTTCAAATTTTCAATCGTTCATAAAATACTTCTTATTCATCCACTCACGTTCAAATACATTTTTTTTGAACTTGTAGGGGGATGACACCTGATGTTAATACAGTTTTTTTCAAATATTAATTCAGTAATTAAATTTAATTAATTCATTTTAGTTTTTTTTTTTTTTTTTTTTAGATTTAAGCTGCATATATCTACCAATAGATGACGCCTGATAAACTTAAAAAAGGAATGAAAATTATTTATAAAGGACTTTCTGCAATATAATGAAAAAAAAGTAGGAATTGACTTTAATTTTTTTTTTTTTTTTTTTTTATATATTACTTGTTTCTCTTTCCTCTGAAGTACTTTCCGTTAAACACAAGAAGTTTCGTTTTCAACTTAACGCACTCTCCACCAATTTTGTAATAAGCAGTTCTATTAACAACCACATTTTTCAGCACCATCAAATATCATGGTAACTGTCTGTTAATGGTACTTGTTCACATTCTAAAATTTTTAATTAATTACACCAATTTCTACTATATCTTATAAAATTAATCAACTCTTGTGTTTCTATGATAAATTCTGATTGGTTAATATCAATGTAGGAAGTATCGATTTAGTTTTTTAACTGATGATATTGCTTTTCTACCTGATAATTCAGCTTGTACACATTCCAAAAATTTAATTAAATACCAGATATTTCTAATATGTTTGATGAAATTATATTAATTTATGTTTCTCTTTTAGAAATGCAGATGATTATTTCAAATCTCGTAATCCTCTAGGATTTCAATCAAATATAAATTCAATTTTAACGTTACTGAATTTACTGAAGCTTAAAATGCTAACCGAGTAATTTCAATTTAATCAATATCAAAATTCGTTTCTTTTTAATCTCATTTTTAAGCTATCACTGGCGATATTATTACAGTAT